AGACTAGACTATAGACTAGACTATAGACTAGACTATAGACTAGACTATAGACTAGACTATAGACTAGACTATAGACTATAGACTAGACTATAGACTAGACTATAGACTAGACTATAGACTAGACTATAGACTAGACTATAGACTAGACTATAGACTAGACTATAGACTGGACTATAGACTAGACTAGACTATAGACTGGACTATAGACTAGACTAGACTATAGACTAGACTGTAGACTAGACTATAGACTAGACTAGACTAGACTAGACTAGACTATAGACTAGACTAGACTATAGACTAGACTAGACTATAGACTAGACTAGACTATAGACTAGACTAGACTATAGACTAGACTAGACTAGACTATAGACTAGACTAGACTAGACTATAGACTAGACTATAGGCTAGACTATAGACTAGACTATAGACTAGACTATAGACTAGACTATAGACTAGACTAGACTAGACTAGACTAGACTAGACTAGACTAGACTAGACTAGACTAGACTAGACTAGACTAGACTAGACTAGACTAGACTAGACTAGACTAGACTAGACTAGACTAGACTAGACTAGACTATAGACTAGACTATAGACTAAGCACTAAACTTAATATTTTTTCGATATTTCATCAGTATAACGATCTACAGTGAACCATTTTCATCTTCACATTAAACGCTAATGACAATTTGAGTCTTAAATAGGACAACATTTGCTAGATTTATAATTTAGTTAACAAAAGCGGTTTATAAGTAGAATAATATCGACTGAGAATCACCCTCAGGCACCCCGATGTCGGTCCTTTGGACAAATGTTCATCAAATTGAATTCATATTCATTAGTTTAAATAAAAATTTTACACAAATCATTCACAATTGGAGATTAAATGTTTTTACAAAAATGTGTTATAAATTCATCGTATTAACAAATGCATTGTCTTCCAACAATAAGTTATTTAACAGACGAGAAAAAAACAACATCATCTATCGATCAACTGCACAACTGATTTTCTAAGTGATTCTGACCATTTTAAAAGTGTTATTGAAAACGCACCATTTATAATCCACACATTTCTCACTCACACACACATTTCACTTGCATTTGAAAATCTTCCATCAAAAACCTTCTAAAGCGAAACTATGATAAAGAAACTGAAGAAGTGCGAAAAAAGGAACAGTATCTACTTAAGTGTTCCCATTAGTTGATCAAATTGTCATTCATGAAATCATGTTGATGGTGGAACGAATCCAAAGGATGAAAAACTGAATGAAAATGGGGAGAAAATAAAAGACAGTAAGAGTGTGGAAAAAATCCGTAAATCTGTAACAAACCTATTAATACAACATATTTCACAGAGAAATCGTTACATTTGACATTTCATTTTTACTTCAATTTTAGTTTTTCCCCTCTTGCCTTTTTTCTATTATTTCTCATATACTAACTCATTCACTCGTTAGTTAGACAGACACACTTATGTAGAGCTTTAAATACAATTTTCTATCATCAACACTTGTCATCATCACTATCAAAAGTAACATCATTCAAACGCCACTACCATTGCTACAAATACAACAGCATCAACTACTACAACTACATTACGTATTAGATACTTACAACGTGGTAAAAGTAACAGTTTATTCCAATAACAAAAACCATTAAAAGTGAGAGAGAAAACAACAAACACATGCGAACACGTACAAAACGATTGTGATTTCAAAGATAAAATTGAATGTGAATTGAGAAGATGAAAACACCAACCATACCGACAGTCGGACGGACATAAAACAGGCTTAATGTGATAATGTTTATTTTTGGTTTTTACTTGTATCATTTAATAAATAGCTAAAATAACACACAAATATATTGATGTAGGATACATACAGTGGTCATTAAATTAATTTAAGTACATCTCTTCGCAGAATATCTTAAAGTGTATTTTCCATTAAATGGTAGTGCGACAGTCCTGCATATTTAATCGATTTGCAAGGACCTACAATGCCAAACAATTGTAATATACAGTCTATAGTCTAGTCTATAGTCTAGTCTATAGTCTAGTCTATAGTCTAGTCTATAGTCTAGTCTATAGTCTAGTCTATAGTCTAGTCTATAGTCTAGTCTATAGTCTAGTCTATAGTCTAGTCTATAGTCTAGTCTATAGTCTAGTCTATAATCTAGTCTATAGTCTAGTCTATAGTCTAGTCTATAGTCTAGTCTATAGTCTAGTCTATAGTCTAGTCTATAGTCTAGTCTATAGTCTAGTCTATAGTCTAGTCTATAGTCTAGTCTATAGTCTAGTCTATAGTCTAGTCTATAGTCTAGTCTATAGTCTAGTCTATAGTCTAGTCTATAGTCTAGTCTATAGTCTAGTCTATAGTCTAGTCTATAGTCTAGTCTATAGTCTAGTCTATAGTCTAGTCTATAGTCTAGTCTATAGTCTAGTCTATAGTCTAGTCTATAGTCTAGTCTATAGTCTAGTCTATAGTCTAGTCTATAGTCTAGTCTATAGTCTAGTCTATAGTCTAGTCTATAGTCTAGTCTATAGTCTAGTCTATAGTCTAGTCTATAGTCTAGTCTATAGTCTAGTCTATAGTCTAGTCTATAGTCTAGTCTAGTCTATAGTCTAGTCTATAGTCTAGTCTATAGTCTAGTCTATAGTCTAGTCTATAGTCTAGTCTATAGTCTAGTCTATAGTCTAGTCTATAGTCTAGTCTATAGTCTAGTCTATAGTCTAGTCTATAGTCTAGTCTATAGTCTAGTCTATAGTCTAGTCTATAGTCTAGTCTATAGTCTAGTCTATAGTCTAGTCTATAGTCTAGTCTATAGTCTAGTCTATAGTCTAGTCTATAGTCTAGTCTATAGTCTAGTCTATAGTCTAGTCTATAGTCTAGTCTATAGTCTAGTCTATAGTCTAGTCTATAGTCTAGTCTATAGTCTAGTCTATAGTCTAGTCTATAGTCTAGTCTATAGTCTAGTCTATAGTCTAGTCTATAGTCTAGTCTATAGTCTAGTCTATAGTCTAGTCTATAGTCTAGTCTATAGTCTAGTCTATAGTCTAGCTAGTCTATAGTCTAGTCTATAGTCTAGTCTATAGTCTAGTCTATAGTCTAGTCTATAGTCTAGTCTATAGTCTAGTCTATAGTCTAGTCTATAGTCTAGTCTATAGTCTAGTCTATAGTCTAGTCTATAGTCTATTCCATAGTCCATATATTATAGGAATGAATGCATATTTATAATTGTCATTGGCGTATATAGATTTTTATGGTGGGGAAAAAGACCCACAAAATAGTCTATTCTGTTGGCGGTAAAATTTATTTAAAAATTTGTCATTGTGGGAGCCAAATAATTGAAGAATATAATTAAAAATATGCTCTACTGTAACATATTGGTGTGAATGTTTTAATGGTCATTGGCGTATATAGATTTTTATGGTGGGGAAAAGTCCCTTCAATTTCTCAAATTATAATTGCATATTATTGGGAAAAAATCGCACAATATTGATATATAATGACATAATTTATGTGATCTCAAAAATGATTAACATTCGACAAAATAATTGTTGCTGTCGCCATTTATGGACAAACTACTTTTAAGAAGTAATTGCCCTAAATTTGTTTGCTCACCCCAAATTTAAATATCTTTGGCCCCTTCTATGAACAACTGATACCGCACCAATGCTTCTGGATATAAACGGACATAAAAATAAAGATGTGGGATAGAATGTGTCTCGTTGTGTACTTGTATAGATGTTTCTCAACTTGTTGCCATTATTTTTCCTATTTTTGCAAATTCTGTTTGTATACTTTCGTTAATCTGGCATAATGAGTTGTGAAGAACAATTCGTACGCCATTTGTGTTTAATTGTGTTTTGTATTTTATAAAACATTCTCTGGGTTGAATTTAGTCGCAGCACATACATTTAAATGCATAAGTACACATACACATTGTTATGTACATGAATAGAAATACATACATATGTATACATATATACCAGCATTTATATATAAAATAAATGTAAAGAGCTGATAACAATATTTGTACTAATTTGGCATTTTGTAAAGTGTACTTTACTGCCACTTTATCTGACACTTGATGCTCTTTTAATTGCGCGCCAAAACGTTTTTATTCAAGTGTTCGTTCGTTTCATCTTAAGTTTTTTTTGTACTACCACCCTCCTCTCTGTTCTTCTCACAATTACATGTACATATGTATATAATATAGTAGACTACGGTTTAGGTGTTGTTGTTTTCTTGTTCTTCTAAAAATTGCAATGATGTTTGAAAGAATTCATGTTATCGTACAATATGTTTGTGTGAAATCATTGTGTATGTGTTAAACATGTTTTTAACTCATCAACGATTCACTTGGAAAAGTCTACTTGAATTTTGTGTCTGAAAATGTATGTGTATTGTTAATGTTTATTTGTTTTAATGTGTGTTTATCTATCTGTGAGTTTTGGTGCAATGAAAGGCGTAAAAATTAATACAAATTTGTGACATTTTAATAAAGATGTTGTTCAGAAATTGCTCAATTTTTGAAATTGCTAAAACAACAAGGAAATTAAAATTTAGCAATTAAAAAAGGCTCTTTTGGCCTTTTTTGGCACAAATATTGTTTTTCTTTTATTACTGTCCACTAAATCGTGCACAGCAGTTTGACTAGTTTTTTGTTGAACTTTATAATTATATAGGTTTTCACGAAAATATGGGAGCACACAATACTCCTTTTGTTTCCTGTTCACTTATTCCATTTAAACTACTTTTAACACAGTCACAGCCGATTTCATCTTTAGACCAAAGTAAATTTCATTTACATGTAATTTTTCATTTATACTTCATTTTAACTTTCATAAAAATAGGTTTTCGATCAAAAAAATTTAAAATTCTCAAGTTAAATGTTTTTTTAAGAATTTAAAGCTGATTTTAAGTTTCCGAAAAAACTCTTTATTAAATTAAAAAAATATTTTTTCATTGTCTCCATTTCATTCTTCTTTTTCTTTCTAGTTCAATTCAAATGAATCCTCTTCGTCTCCTTGCAATTCCTCATTAAGTTCAGTTACGGCAACAACACTAACACCAACAACAACATTAACAACAACAAACACTATGAGATCTCCAACATCTTTAACAACCGATACTGTGACGGTTGCTGCCGCTGCTCATGCTGCTGCTGTTAGTGCTGCCGTAGGTACAGAACTATTACAACAACATTCAATTAATTCCATAATTGAACAACGTCAAGACTTTCTAACAGCAGCTGCAACAACAACAACAAGACATACAAATGATGCCAATAACACTTTATCGAATACAACAGCATCAACAATATCAGCAGCATCATCGGATACATTAACCTCAACATTAAATGGTATGTTTAAATATTTATATAGAAATAGTAAGCACGCATAAAAAACACTGTAGACTAAAACTTGCACAACAAAATTTCTGCGTCCTAATTTTATTAAAAATCAAAACATTTTACATATTTTAAGAAAAACTGACACTTTTTTAACAATATTTCATTAATTTCTTAAAGTAAAATTTTTGTTTCTAAAGTTTTGATCGACACTGTTTATATATGTATAAATATACCCACTCTAATGTTCAGTATAAACTGCAGTGTTAATGTTTTATTTATTATTCGTTTTTTATTCCCATAAAAATATTTTATAATTGTTTTATCGTATATGTGTGTTTAACACATACATGTGAATACATATACAGTATTGTTCGGAACCAAAATTATCTCTAAGTGATTCGAATTGTTAAACTTGAATTCTCGTTAAAGAACGTTTAGAATATATTTGACTTAAATTACTCTCAAACAATACTGTACATTCATATACATATGTATGTATATTTTTGTATGCATACATGTGTGCGTGTTCGAATGCATGTAATTGTGACTTTTTGTTTATTTCTCTGTCTTTATAAGATGCCTTGAAAACCACTTCTTTTTCAAATTTAATTCTAAGTAAAATGTCAAGGTGTTTAAACAATACAATTGTTCTCGTACTCTCCGCAATAACATTCTACACAAGTACTTGAAAACTTTTTCTTATTTACAATTTATTCTCTCTTTTAGATTTCTTTATTTTTCTTTTTAATTTAAAAGGTAACAATTTAATTAAATAAAAAATGTGTGTTAAATTAGATATAAACATTACTATGATGCTTGGGATAATCACTAATTTAACAATGGTTTATAAGTAGAAGAAATTTTGTGAAAAAATCGGTTTTGTCCACTCTTAATTCAAGATTTATTTGATAATCTTTCTGGTTATTTGTTATCAATTGGCAAATTATATTATAATAAGCGTATGAGTGATATTTAATTTTTTAAAAATTCATCATACTACCAGTACAATCTAGTCTAGTACAGTCTATAGTCTAGTCTATAGTCTAGTCTATAGTCTAGTCTATAGTCTAGTCTATAGTCTAGTCTGTAGTCTAGTCTATAGTCTAGTCTATAGTCTAGTCTATAGTCTAGTCTATAGTCTAGTCTATAGTCTAGTCTATAGTCTAGTCTATAGTCTAGTCTATAGTCTAGTCTATAGTCTAGTCTATAGTCTAGTCTATAGTCTAGTCTATAGTCTAGTCCATAGTCTAGTCTATAGTCTAGTCTGTAGTCTAGTCTATACTCTAGTCTATAGTCTAGTCTGTAGTCTAGTCTATAGTCTAGTCTATAGTCTAGTCTATAGTCTGGTCTATAGTCTAGTTTATAGTCTAGTCTATAGTCTAGTCTATAGTCTAGTCTATAGTCTTGTCTATAGTCTGGTCTAGTCTATAGTCTAGTCTATAGTCTAATCTATAGTCTAGTCTATATTTTAGTCTATAGTCTAGGATATAGTCTAGGCTATAGTCTAGTCTATAGTCTATCGTCTAGTCTATGGTCTAGTCTATAGTCTAGTCTATAATACTCTTTTCGTTATATGTTAGTACTATTTCAAAATTTTCCATGCGTGTTACATTAACAAAATTTAGTTACAGGTTCTAGAAAAGGAGATATATGATATATCTGAATTTTAACCGACTGGACAAACAAGTTTAGTTTAATATATAAAAATAAACCATTTAAAGAAACCAATTATAAATAAGTATTTACATTTATTTCTTTTTTTTAAATTAGTGTCTAAAAAAATACCCCAACACTTGGTTGTTCTTTTTATATAAACAACCATTAAATAAACCTTCATTTGTTGAATTAAATAAGTTTTTTGGTTCTAGAAAAAATAGAGTAAAATAAATAAAAAATACAAATAAGTTGTCTAAATTGATGGAATTTTACAAATGAAATGATTTTGAAGCAAATCAAATAGAAAAAAATAAAAAATATATTTTTTCAAAACATTTCCTTTTTCTGTCACCAACTAAACAATACAGAGAAACAAACATACATATGTACTTTCACACAAGTAAAGTTTTGAGGGAGCAGACTAAAAAGTAAATAAAATGGAACTAATGTGAACTAATATTTCCAAACACATAAGACATACATGTATAAAAAAAAAACAACTAAAAATAGTACCACATTTAAACATAGGCCTAATATTGATCCGATCCTTATAGAATTTGAAAGAATGATTAATGTAGTTATACTTAAAATCTACTTATAATTATTTGTATAACAATAAGAATAATATTAGGAAATATATGAGCGCCAAAATGCTTTTTGGAAGCCAAAAATATGGACATTTTAAGACGGCTCTCGAATGTTTAAAGTATTGTAAACTCATATGTATGTACATATATTCCAATTCAACTATTCGTTTGAATAGTTTTTGTTTAACAAAGATATGGATGTCCCAATATTTCATCAACAGCATCAGCATAAGAGAAAAAAACAAATACATACACTCGCACTTGCACTTACATATGTAGATTCATATACAAATACATATGTGTTTGTTTTCCCTCTACTTTAAGAAAACGAATGAGTATATTATGCAATATGGAGCCAATTGAATAAAATACTTTTGTAATGATAGTAAAAGAACAACTACAACAATAACAATAAACACTCAGATATATACATAAATACATATGTACATGGAGCAGGACATGTTCATACTTTATTTCATTATAAAGAGTAAAAAACTAAGAAAAAAAGATGTGAAGAAGAAATGTATTGGAAGGAAGTATAAAGAATTGTCCCTTATTTCTTAGACATTTTAAATTCTTTTGCCATTTTTTTGTCATCTTTCTGTTTCTGGTGCTTCTTGTGTAAAGAATCAAAGTAGAAATAGATAAGAGTAGTAGTAAGTGGCAGAATGTAAAGAAAATAAATAAATATAAATATAAAATAAAAGAACAACAAGAACAACTATCAACAAAACTTAAGAAGTTTTTGATGCCATTAAAATGCTCCTGTTATGTTCATTTTTTTTGCGCTTTCTATAACGCATGAATGATAAAAAAAACAACAGCAATGCACAATGGGTTAAATGCAAATTGGTCAACTACAAACAAAACATTTCCAAAATTATTATATTGTATGTTTACTTACTTTAATAACTAACGTATAAGTAATATTTATTGTAACTAAATAATACTTATACGTTAGCTGATCAACACTTTTGATAAAATCTGTGGTTACTCATACTTCTTTGTTTAAATCAGATTTTTATACGAAAAACAAAAAATTGGCTATGAATCATTAAATAATGTTTTAATTAAAAAACAAGTAAGAAATTTATAGCCGGGCGAGGCCGACCATATAATACCATAATAAAGCATTTAAGTTGAATTGTACCTTGCCTTGAATTATACTTAAGCCATTTATAGCTGAACAAAATTGTGGACATTTAAGTCAAATTTTGAAGGGGGATTTATATAGGGGCTATGGTCAAATGAGACCCTATAATTATAAAATTCATGAGTGTCATCAAGTCTAGTATAGAACAGTTGTATGGGGGATAGGTAAAATAATGGACCGATCTTAACCATTTTCAGTAGGTTTCGTCCCTGGAACAATAGAAGATCATATGCCACATAGCTAAATCGACTCAGAAGATGATTCTAAGCCTATTGGTATACTTTAAGGTGGGTATAGGATATTATTGTGCGTTACAAACATCAGCACAAACCCAATATACCCTCCCCACTAAAGTGGTGTAGGGTATAAATACCAAAAATCTGAACTCTTTAATTTTCTATCAAAAATGTATGTATAAAATACTTAATAATCTTAAATAAGTGAGAAAATAGTGAAAATCTGCGGATCACTCATAATTTCCATTACAAATGAAAAATATGATCATTAAACCTTGACCCTTTACATTTAAACTAAATATGAAAGTTGTAATTGTTTAATTTTTTCTGCTTAACCAATTAACACATGTCACACTTGATCCATAGTGCAAGTGACAGCAATAGTAATAACAGCAGCAGTTATATTGCATATTACTTTAATTTATTATATGTATTTGTTTGGTAGATACTTAAAAGAATTATACATTACATACGTACATACATATAGATACATATGTATATGTGTACATATGTATATGTGTAGAAGAAAAAAATAACAAAGTTATTGCAAATAAACAAACTCAGCCAAATGAAGTCAAAACTGTGCAATTCAAACTCAACAGCTATTCAACCAAACAACTATTTTGTTTGCAATAGAGTAACTAATATACAAACAAAAAAAGCACAAATAAATTTATAATTTTTGATTTATTTTTTATTTTGGGCATATTTTATGGTATTAAGTTATATATTTGAGTTTAAATGCATGTTAGTAGATACATTTATATATTATGAATATGTATGTTAAACGTATGTGTAAGCGTAATAAAAATAAGTATATATCATAAAATACATACACTTATGTATATACATACATATGTATGTATAGAATGTATAACTATATGCGTTTGTTTACATACACCCCGGGGTGTATACTGTACATTCTGTATGCAGTAAAAATGACCCACCATTGTGTGTAACTGTTTTTAAGAATGCAATATTTCATACAATTATAACATGTAATAATAGCAATAACAACTACAACAACTATATGTTGTTGTAGTTATATGTACATACATATAAGTATATAGAATATATACTAGCATGTACAGATATCTACTTATTGTTATATACTAAATAATATTTATATTATTTTATTAATTTGTTTGAATATTTATTGTGACAATTTTAATGTTCTTTTACCATTGTCCATCTTTATATTCAGTAGTTTATAAAGAAGTTTCTAAGAATCCATAACTATACACAAACTAATGTTTGTATTATTATTTTAAGAGCATGAAACGAAAAGTAATCCAAGAAAATTATACACACATACTTATTTAAATTCAATTATTGATTCAAATTAAAGGTTTATTGAACATTTTTTTTATAATAGGTACCTAAATATCTATGTATGTATATTTATACCCTAAATATACATATCTTAAATTATAAGAAATTACCTACGCAAGTAGATCTTTTAAAGGACATTTTATACTAAAAAACAACAACCACATAACCGAGAAACTTAAAATCAAATAGAAAACACCGGTTGTGTGTAACTTAGTTATCTTTATACAATATATTTATCGTGTGCCTCTGGTAGGTTAGCAATTAGTCTGTTAAACCGGAGTTCGTTTGTTCTATTCCCACCAGCTACACCAGGTACAGATGTGATGGAGAAAATGAGGTCAGATTCGGATTCAGCGCGGCTCAATCGTTTAGAAACATCACACTTTGTCTCAGGGTGTAATATTAGAACAGTGGTGTATTTAGATATTAATATTATAACCCTAGAACGTATGAGTAATTTGTAGCTTACTTTGATTTCAACAATTAATCATTCGTACAGTATACCAACAAAGTATATACAACAAAATCCAAACAAATAAGGTCATTCCAATATTTGCCACCCAATTGTACAAATATCCTTATATATAATATATCTTAAAAGAAACATTAACAAAATATTATTTAATGATATAAGAATAAGTAGGCAAATATAATTTATATACTTATCTTTGCTTATCCTCTACATAAGTATATATTATATTTTTGTCATTTTTTTTTTCTTTTTGTGCAAACTCTATTTTGCAGATCCCTTAGCATTGACAGCAGAATTTCTTGGCTTGGGCACTCGTTCAACTAATCCAACTAATACAGCACTGACAAGCAATATATTGCCATTGGCTAATGTAGGCGGCAATGTTGCTGTTGGTGGTGGTGTAGACAACAATAGTTGTAATGGCAGTGGTATTGGTATTAGTATTGGTAGTGTCGTTGGCGGATGTGGTATTTCCTCTACAAATCTAGAGGCATTAAACACTACTAACACCAACTCAAACTCATTGGCAGCTGCTTATATGCCTCTAACACCCAGTTCAACACAATCCTCTATATCGCCCGGTACCACGACCAGCAATACATTCGATATGTTTCAGGTAATAAAGAATGCGGCACGTAACTTCTTTTTAACTATTGAAAATTTCCTAATTCATGTTTTCATTTTAACAATAACAAAATAATGCTTGGTTTGCTGCACTAAAAATTGCACATTAACTTTTTTTTAAATATAAATTTTAAATATTTTATAAACACTGCTCTTCTACTCCTATTACTCTAACACTTTCTCTCTATTCTATCTCTATATATTTGTTTGTTTCTTTTTTATCTGCTTCACTTGTCTTTCTTCTACTATATACCAACAAAAAATATAGTTTGATAATATTGCACCACAACACCAACAAAATACACCTTTAAAGGTTTTCCAAAGAAACATCAGCTTCGATTGTTCTGCACCTTTATCGCCAAGTACGCCTACATCTCTTTATAATAACTCTTTCCAAAGTTCACCTTTAGTCAGGTAATACATTTTTATGAATAACTATTTAACTACAATCTAATTTAAAACTTTTTAATACATAAAAAAATAGACCGAAACTTTTTTCTTTTAATTGTAATTTCGTTTTGATATTATAGTGATAGCAGTAATTCGTCTTCAGCTAATGGTTTATCTTTGGATTCCATACCCATGGTTTATCAAAATGGCTACACAAATGGATTGACTTCGACACGTTCTACTTCCCCCGAAAGTCAAAATAGCAATCAATCAAATGAAAATAGTTTAATTGATATGATGGTAAGTATATTTAGATTTCAAGAAATCGATTTCTTTTTCTTAAGAGAGATGATCACAGTCATTGAGTGAAATGAATATAACCACTATTTTAAAGAACTATAATAAATTTTTAAAAATTTTATACAAGAGATAATTTTTGTATTGCAATGATCATAGATTAAAAACGGGCCACTGTTAATAACAAAATTTTATACAAAATTCGATTTTTTATCATGAATATAAGAAATCAACACCTTTCTCTTGAATGTTGGACTACAATGAATTTTTTTTTAATGAAAATCTATAATATTGTTTTGAAGATTATTGCTAAAAGCATAAATATCACACAATATTTCATAATTGGGACAGTCCCTTACGATTTAAGGTATTTAATGTTTCTTTCCAGAAATTTCTAAATGTCAGCAACAATCAGCAGACACAACAGAAACTACTGCAACAGCAGCAACAGTTTCAATTTCAAAATATACAACATCAGCACCAACAGCACCAACAGCAACGTCAAAAACAACATGAAACGTACTCAACAACATCCGAGTTTGAAAATTCCACAAATCGTTCATCACCAGCTACAAATCTCTTTGATGAACAAAACTTAGAAAACTTTGAGGCTCTCTCCGCTTTTGATATGGAACTATCTAAATTACAAGCCTTAAATGCTGTAACTCTTTTACAAGCCCAACAGCAACAAGTGCCATTGTTGCAAAATCTATTGCAAACTTACAATACCATAAATCAACTGCAAAATTGGCAATTGCAACAACATCAATCGCATCCCCTACAGCATCAACAACAACAACAACAGCAGCAACAACAACAAACTAATGGAAATTTTAACAATGCTCTAAATGCCAATACCAATGGTTCTGATGCTTATTTGGATCGTGTGGCTAAATTCTATAGGGGATCGGCTGCATTTTGTGAGCCCACCTGCACCTGGAGTGGCCAATTGCCAGCACGTTCTCATCGTTTGTATCAGTTTTCGCCGAAAGTATTTTTGGGTGGCATACCTTGGGATATAAGTGAACATTCGTTGATACAGATTTTTAAGCCATTCGGACAGATTAAGTAGGTTTGGTTTATTAATTCGGTAAAAAAATTGGTTCTTTGTTTTAATTTTAAAATGTTCTATTTAGAGTTGAATGGCCAGGCAAGGAACAGCAGGCCGCCCAGCCCAAGGGTTATGTTTATATTATTTTCGAATCGGATAAACAAGTCAAGGCTTTACTTTCCGCCTGCGCTGTGCAAACAGACGATCCTCATAGTGGCTGTGGTATTTTCTTTTTTAAAATATCCTCCCGGCGTATTAAAGCTAAAGACGTAAATATGTTCTTGTTTTTATTTTACAAAAACAATTTTTTACAGTGTCATTGCTTTTTTGTTTAGGTTGAAGTTATTCCCTGGCTTATTGGCGACTCCAATTTTGTCAAGTCTACTTCTCAGAAATTAGATCCTACTAAAACTGTATTTGTTGGTGCCTTACATGGTAAAATGACCGCCGAGGCTTTGGCTAAAATAATGGATGATTTATTTGATGGAGTATTATATGCTGGTAAGTTGTAAATAGTCGAATTTTAGAAAAAAAAACATGAACAGACGTTTTTATTTATTTTTATGATTTATTTTAATTTAGGTATTGATACCGATAAATATAAATATCCCATCGGCTCGGGTCGTGTCACCTTTAACAATAATCGTTCATATATGAAGGCCGTTTCAGCAGCTTTTATTGAGATTCGAGCACCAAAATTTACGAAAAAAGTGCAAATTGATCCATATCTTGAAGATTCATTATGTTCAATATGTGGTGTACAACACGGACCATATTATTGTCGAGAATTATCTTGTTTTAGGTAAATAAAAAATCCATCGAATCTTCTTTTTAAAATGTTGATTTGGAATTGAAAGATAAATGTGTTTACAGGCAGACTAGACTATAGACTAGACTATAGACTAGACTATAGACTAGACTATAGACTAGACTATAGACTAGACTATAGACTAGACTATAGACTAGACTATAGACTAGACTATAGACTAGACTATAGACTAGACTATAGACTAGACTATAGACTAGACTATAGACTAGACTATAGACTAGACTAGACTATAGACTAGACTATAGACTAGACTATAGACTAGACTAGACTAGACTATAGACTAGACTATAGACTAGACTATAGACTAGACTATAGACTAGACTATAGACTAGACTATAGACTAGACTATAGACTAGACTATAGACTAGACTATAGACTAGACTATAGACTAGACTATAGACTAGACTATAGACTAGACTATAGACTAGACTATAGACTAGACTATAGACTAGACTATAGACTAGACTATAGACTAGACTATAGACTAGACTATAGACTAGACTATAGACTAGACTATAGACTAGACTATAGACTAGACTATAGACTAGACTATAGACTAGACTATAGACTAGACTATAGACTAGACTATAGACTAGACTAGACTAGACTATTGACTATAATATAGACAATAGAAGAGAAGACACACAATTTATTATTAAAATATTGAGTCAAACTCCTACAAATACACATACAATTTTCTCTTACACAATTTTGAACAAAAAAATATGTATTACATATGTACATTTGTTTTATTTCTCACTTTTCCTCTCCATTTTTTGCATTTTCCCTTTAACAGATATTTCTGTCGCACTTGTTGGCAATGGCAGCATTCAACAGATGCTGTTAAATATCACAAACCATTAACTAGAAATTCGAAATCTCAAACATTAGTGGGCATTGGACCGGCTTCATCAACCACCTCATTGTCTTCGTTGAATTCTCAACAGGCCATAAATTATGGTGGCCAGCAGTTACAAATACTACCACAAACACAACAACAACAACATTTATTGTCCTCTATGTCACAAACGACACAGGATTCATCAAATAATCATCATCAGCAACAACAACAGCAGCAGCAAGCACAACAACAGCAGCAACAGGCAAACATGCAACAATTACAACCTCCACAACAAATACAAACAATACAAAATGCTTTTCATTTATAAAGCATTTCCGCAGAGAATTAAAATAAAACTGAATTGAATGAAATGCAATGCAATGGAGAGAGTAAATAATAAATGCTGGAGAAACAAAAACAAATGATAAAAACGTACGTGTAATTTAATTTTAAATGCATTGAATTGAATTGTATATGTAAATTATTATAAATAATTTAAATGGTGATTAATATTTCGGAGTGAGTTACTGTTTGTGTTTCTTTTTTTTATGGAAAAATCTTTTTTTTTTTCATTTTATGTTTAAGTTGTTTATTTGATTTTTTGTTATGGCATTTATCATTATTATATCATTACAAATGTAATTCATTAGAGATGAGTGGGCAAGTACTTAAATAATAACTTGTTAAGTGCTAAAATATTTGCACTCATCTCTGGTTCCTATTACTATAACATATCAGCATTATTTTATTGAAAGCTGGCTTTCAATTAATATTTAAAAATTCAACTTTATTATAATTGTGTTTTAAACAAAAAAATAATTTTAAATGAAATTCTTTTGTTTTATTTGCAAAATTAACATTTTGTATTTGAAAAAAGAAAATGTGTATTTAATTTTTAAACAATTTTTATAAAAAAATATTCATATTTTTCTTTGATTTGAGTTTATTTTCATTATTTTGTTATTTTTGTTTTAAGTAAATTGTTTTCAAATAATTTTATTGCTATTCTCTGGTAATTTTTTTAACTAAAATTTCAGCTATAATTAGCAATGATCTTATTAATATAAAATTATTTTTATATATATGTATTAGTTTTTCTAGTTTGTACTAGATTTATTTGTAATTATTTATATTTTTTGTGTTTCTTATAAGAAAATTTCAATTTTTTATTTTGGAAAAAAATTGCTTAATTTTTCATTTTTATAGGAATTTTTTTGTATGTATGTATGATGTTAATTTTGTTGTTGTTATTATTTATATAATGAATATTTCATTTTGTTTATATTTTTCTAATTTTATGTTTTTTTTTTTTTTTGCTTGTTTAATTTTTGCTTTATTCGAAGTTATATATTTTTTTTGTTATAAATTTTAATTTTTAGAATTTAGTCATTTAAGGAAATTAGTATTTAAAAACAAATTGCTTAATTTTTCAAAAAAAAAAAAAAAAACATTTTAAGAACACTATTTAATTTAATTAATCTTAACAAATTTATATTATATTTTTATTAAAAAAATATTATTTTGTTTTAATAAAACATTTTTGTTTATTATGATTGGTTAATTTATTTTTTATTTAGTTATAAGGGACAGCAGTGTTCCGGCAATTAAAATGTTAAAAATTCTAATAGTCAACACAAAACATTAGGTCGGATAAGTGTGCATATATTTATATAGTGGATCATGTAAGTTGTGCCTTATATCGACCTTGAAATTTAGAATCGTTATAGAGAATATTTTGAAAATGTTTGTGTCCCTAGGTAGTCTCCTCTGAGACCTATTTGCTGGTGTTAATTTAAATATTTTATTGAAATCGGAACACGTTTGTAACCCTCTGGGACTGACGTGAGATCTATAGTGTCAGTACTAGTGCTACGTATTCGTATTCGCTGATGTTAATTTAGTTATATTATTGAAATCGGAACACGTATTTAGCCGTGACGTAATAGCCTGACAGATACCACAAAATCTAAAAAAAAAAATATTATAATATAACACAAATCTTTGAAAATAGTTCAAAAAACTTCTCATCGGTCCCAGAGGGTTAATTAGCTTTAGGCTTTTATGAATTAAAAAAAAATAAACTAAACTATTTTAAAGAAAATTTAGAAAGAAGAATATAAAACAATATTTAAAATTTTATATGAAAAACACTAACAAAAACTAAGTAGTTTTCATACAAAATTTTAAAAATTGTTTTCTGTTCTTCTTTCTGAATGTTTTTTGTAGAATTGAAGTTATTTACCCAATAATATATTCTCTACTTTAAATAACCAGCAACTCATTTTCCGTTTCGAAGTTTCGCAAAATACACGACTTGAAAATATTGAAATAATTTTTCGATACGATACACTAATTCAGAGGTTAGATTTTTAAAAACAATCCTTTATCGCTAATATTTATGTATATGTATGAATATTTTTCGCAATCACATCATCTATATTTTCAAGAACTTGTTTTTAAATTTTTTTTTTTTTTATTTTTTTTATAAAAATATATTTTTTTAATTATATATTTAAAACAAAACAAATTACTAAAACCGAAAACAGAAATACTTAAAAATTATGTATTTACTGCACAACTTAAAACACTTAAAAATATGCAACAAGAAAATAAATTGAAAAAAATTTTAAATCCACAACATACAGGGATTTTACAGTAGTAAAATAAATATAAATGAAAATTTTAAAAAAATCAAACAAATATAAAAAACATAAAAAGTAGAAAATCCTTTTCCCCTAATCCTTTAACATAAAACAAACGGAAATTATAGGGGGCTATTTAAAAACTGGAAATGAAATAGAAAAGATTTACCATTCTAATAATTAAATAAGCCTCCCGATATACATATAACGCAATTGCCTCTTAAATATGGTTTCTGTTGTAGTTTTAAGTTGCCCCTTAATTTTTAAAAATTTTGTTTGAAACTTAAAATCAATACATATTTCGAAAAAAAAAATTTGAAAACACAGAAACATGTTTAAAACAAAAACTAAAAACTCGCTTCAAATACTTTGAGTTAGGAAAAATAATAAAAATTGTTAAAAACAATTAATAATAAAATAAAAAAATAAACAATAAATTAGTTTGTATTAAATAAATATATATTATTAAAAAAAATAATAAACTGATAATAAAATATTAGTAATTAAAGCCAAACTATTTAATGAATAACATTTGATTTTTAAAGTTGAAATCCAAAAAAATATATGTATAACAAATGGATATAACATTTAAATATACTAAAGATACTTGATAAATATTGAAATGTAGCTGGAATAAGATCATAATAGAGTAACAAATAACCTTCAAATTTTATTATTATTGCAAAAGAAAATGCAAATTGTGCGAGCTTTAAGAGGTTAAGGAATGCACTGGAATGGGACATTAATTGATTGGGATAGCATTTGAAATAATGCAATCTTGCATGACATCATAAGGGCGGAAGATTTATTTCACCTGATGTTGGGGTTTGTCGCCCCTTCTATTGACTTTAGACCAGTAATTGCTTTTTCCTTGTCGGGGTTTACATTGGGATTGATCCCATACTGCCTGTCATTCCGCAACGGGGCTACTATGGTAAGAGATTAGATAGCTCGAGTTCTTCAGCAAAGAGCTTGTACATGGACCGACGATATATACATATATACCCTTCTCACGAAGGTGAAGGGTATACAAATATTATTTAATCAAACCCTTTTTATAATTTTCGAAAATCTTTTGTAATAATTTTTTCATAAATTAAAGCGAAATTAAGACAAGCTATGTGTCAATTTTTATTAAAATTCCTTTATTTTTCTAAACTAAATGACAGGTTAAAATTTTTTAATATTTATTTCCATTACCAATTTTTTCAATTCTTATTTAACTACCATGTATATACATATGTATATAGTCAATAACCAGCAGTTTCACTAGTTACTCTATAATGTCGTAGATAACAATTTAAGCACTACAATACATTAATTGTAGTGCTTAAATCATTACTTTAGTATATCTAAATTTTAAAACATATTTTTTTATTAAATTAAACAAAATAAAAAACAAGTGTTTTCATTAAATTATTTATACATAAATATTAATTAACAAATATGGTGCTTTAGCTGAATTATAAATATTTAATAAAATGAAAAAAAAAACATACACCCGACATATGTATATTAAATTTAAGATATTAAAACCCAGAATCAAATCCTACATACATATAAAACAAAAATTAAAACAAAGGCATATTAAAAAATTGATAATCATTTCATTAAATTACAAAGAAAATTAGTTGTTTTTAAATTAATTGAGTAAAATAAAACCTCTACAATTATTATTGGAATTATTAAGTAAAAAAATAACAAATTGCATTTAAATTAATAAAAAAAAAAAAAAAAAACAAAATGAGATTGAAAAATATATAAAAATCCAGTACCTTTAATTAGTATATATACATATGTACGTACTTACGTATAGACAGATTATACAGATAGACAAAAATATTAACTCCTGATATTAGCAGGGAAACAAATTCAATATTTATTTTTAAATATTTAGACATTTTTTTTACCAAATTATATAATCCAAGAGTATATTAAGCATTCTCTACAGTTTCGTAAAAAATGGAATCTGGAATTTGAGATCTTGAAATTTGAAAAACTTCATTTTTTGACCTTTTTGAGACGTTAAAACCGCGCCAAAACAACTTGATTAATTGTAAAATGTTGTATGTCATCTGAAACTTTAAAATATCTTCTCTCTTCTTCGAGAGATCTTCACCTAAAGCTTAAAAACTCATGGTTTTCAGTATATTCATGGTATTTATACCCTACACTATTATAGTTCGGAGGTTATTATGCTTTACAAATATTGTTTATAACGAACAAAAATATTGGATTCACACCCATCTGAAAATGTTCTAATCAACTCAAAATCTCTTTCTTTGAACTATATATATAACATTTGAATATTTTCCCTGCTGAAAAAATCAATGTTTCATTCAAAATTGTACTCTTTCTTTAACTTCAATTCAAAACTTTTACTACTTTATAATTTTGAATGAAACAATGTGTCAAAACCCCAATATACAAAATTATTTTAAAAGTAGCCTATTTATTTTTAAATCCTTAAATACCGCTTCAACTTTAAAACTACCAAAAAAATCAAAAAAAGAAAAAAACTAATTAAAAATATTGGCAATTAAAAATAGACTTTTAAAATAATAACTTAAAAAAAATATTCTTAAAATTTTTTATTAACTTTTAAATGGTATTAATAATAACAAAAAAAAAACAATTTTAATATTTTATTCAAAATAAACAAAAAAATATTTGTAATTATTTTTAAATTTATTTTTAAAAAAATCTATAATTTTTAATTATAAAACCAAAGAAAACTATAGAAATAAAAATTTATTTTTTAAAAAATAAAGCAATTTATTATAGCAGAAAATTTTTAACTAAATATTCTAAGAAAAAAAAATAAATTTTATACACACTCTCATTGGAATTTTACAAATCTTCTACTACTACAAAAACAAAAAGGAATATTTTTTAACAAAAATAAAAATTTAAATTTTTTACTTTCAAAACTAAAATTAAACAAAAATAAAAATTTTTGGAAAATTAAAGAAAACATAGTATTAAAAGAATTTTATTTAAATTTTTGCAAATTCTCTTGAGAAATCTAAATAAAGTTCTTTAAATACTGCACCATAAGACCAATTAAAGAAAACCCAAATTAGAGAAACAAGAAAAAACCCTAGATTTAGTATTTAATAAAAACAACAATATGGAACCAAAATCAAACGCTTCCCACTTATAAACGATAATATTAAAAAACAAAATATTTTAACCTGGCAATAT